AATTGAAATAGGGTAAATTTGAACATAAAGCAAGAAAATAATCTGATTTAGATAAAAGAAAATAAAATCTTACTATATTATATTGAACATAATATCAGAAATAGAATTTGGTTTATTTATTTTTAATTATAATTTATAATATATATTAGGTGGTGGAAATTATGTTAATTTTTTCATTAAAATATCTTTAATGTTATTCAATTCATGTTTACTGAATTAATTTTTTGCTATAATTGCTATAATTTTAATTAATTTAGTATAACTTTAAATGTTAAAATCATTTTTTGGATGTCTTGATTTGTTCAATTATATTAGATTATGATATTAAAATACTATATTTTACCAATGCGTGACAGAACGTAGAGGTTATTTTAAATTTGTTTGTGTTGGGAATCAATGATAATTTTATTGTATTTAAATTATATTTGTATGTAAAGTGCTTACCAACCGTAACGTCAGAAAGTAGAATTATTGGTTTATCTATCATCAATTTTTGATAATGTGTTGTTTTATACCATATTGGATAGATTCTCCAATTTAAATTTTGGAGGTTTTACACATACACACAAACACACATTTATACATAAATAATAAATATATATATATTAATATATTATATATATATATACGGATTCTACTTTGATAGTTTCATTGTGAATTTAAATGCTAATTGGACAATGGCTGTTTCCTTTATAGGTACAGCGTTGTGCTTAATATTCAAACGTCAACATAAAGTTAGTTTTATGGTACACGAGGGCACCGAGCCTATTATTCTATTATTGTAACGGATGGGATGATGGAATTACTGTAGAATTATTTTGTTTAACGAAATATCAAAATTGTTAAAATATTTCTATAACATTATAACATATATATGGTTAAATAGGAACTATTTGATTATTTTTCTGTAAACCTTGATTACAAAAATTTAAGTCACTCAGACATATAAAACATTAATTGGTATTGATCAGTAAAACAGTTGGTATCAGGAGTGTAAAAGTATACCTATATAAGTGAAGTACAATTAAAGTGTGTTCTTATCTTTAAATGCTAATCAATAAGTAATATGAAGTATAAATAATACAGTATTTGTATTTTTTATAAACTGTAGTAAGTTTTACGTAAGTAAAGCATTTGAACGTTTTAAGAGGAAGTTCCTTAATTTTACAATGTTTTTCTTATCCTCTTGTTTATTTTGCAACTATTTAGTTTAGTTAACTATTGTTTTATTCCTTTTTTTAATGTCAAAATTAATAAAAAAAAGTTTTAACTATATTTCCGTTTAAATTGGTAACCTTGGAAACACATTTGTAGGTGTAGGTTTTAAAAGATACAACCAATATCTATGTTATACATAAAGAAAATTACGTTTCATTGGATTATATTTATTGTGGTTTTGTCAAAAACAATGGCAGTTATTTTAGTTATGATAATTTATATAAAAGTTATAATTGTTACATGTGTGTAATAGGTTAATAAATTTACAAAATCAAATGTTTTTTAACTTTTCTACTATATAATTTTTAAATGTTAATATCTCTGCTAAACATATTTATACTGTTTCACAATATTGTGTGTAATTCAATACCATTTAAACTTAATATGTTTGAGAGGGGTTGGAACTAAAAATAATTATTCTCAACTTTATTAATTTTTATCGTCAAAAAGTTTATGTTAATTTTTCAGTATTTTTCATGATTAGAGTATGATAATAATTCAAGTTGACGTAATGTGTCATTACATCGAGTAGTTAGTATTGCTAAAGTATTATATTCGGGGTTAATGTTTTCAGAAATACATTGAACAATTTGAATTGAAACTAAATTTTAGTGCTATGATTTTAAAACTATTTTTCAAAGTACTTATAATTTTATCTGCATCAAAGTTGAGTTTTCAATACTAGTTCTTTTTACATGTACCTATTACACTTGCCACTTGGTGGGTCATAGATAATTTTATGTTAGTAAACTAATTAAATTCCAGGTTTATTATGGTAGTACGTAAGTTGAACACTTTTTTACTTACTAGTTGTAAGAGTTAGTATTAAATAAAACGAAAATAATAATTTACAAAATGTTTAATATATTTTAGGATAATATTATTTTATCAAGATTTTTAGATTTTTTATTTCATCGACACTTATTACCAGTTGATATTTTTAGCAAGCGTACAGTCAGAAAATCTATTAATTTAATTTTAATTGAAAATAATGACTGTTCAGTAAAAAAACAGTCTTTAGTTAAATTATATTAAAAATGATATTAAATGTGATATATCTGATATTAATTTATATTACTTATAATATTTTTATCTGCTTGATTTTTGATGCGCATAAACTTATGACTATTATGCATTTTTTAGTAGTACGTTGAATTCTTTAAAGTTAAAATACATTTTTTCACTAAAACATCCACCAAAATTTAAATTTTGTGCTTATATATGCATATTACTGGAAGTATAATAATCAGCTACATTTTAAATACAAGGTATAAATTAAAATTCTACGTTTGATGATCTTTTGGTAATATTATACATGTATAAGAAAATTACACTTTATTCGCCAGTCAATGGTACGTACGGCATAATAACAAAATAAAACTATGAATTGAAAACATATGAATACAAGATTATTAATTAATTTTTAAAATGTGTATAAGAAATCAAAAAAAAAAAAAAAAAAAATAAAAAAAAAAAAAAAAAATAAGGTTATTTTTTTACCTTCAGCTGTATCTAATATTGCATGTACACATACACGGTATACCTATATCTTTCTTTGCAACTTATTGAAATGATCGATTTTCTAGTTTCCTGCTATATTCTGTTCTTGTCCTGTTGTACATCTGCAGTTCATTGCACGTAAAATGCTATGATAAACATGGATTCACGTTTTCAGCAAATACGAATTGGATGAGAGTAAATAACATTATGATCATAAACAAAGACAAAATTTTTTTTATACATATGCCCTCTGTCCTGATACAGTTCGTGATTTTTTACAGGTATAATATAAATCTATATAATCTATGATCTTAAAATAAACATAAATCATAATTTTTGAATTTTTTTGCCAGAAATAATTAGTCAAATTGTGTGACCGTATTATTATTAATGGAGTTAAGAAATGTACTAATGCGTTTATATTATGTATTAATATTGATTTACCGTTTGTATTCATTGACTAGCACAATATTTATTATTGACCGCTAGGGCTACTTGTTTGAATATTCATACGAAACCGATTTTAACTGTTATAATGATATATCTGAATAGAGCCGTTTTTTTTTGTTTTTATAGATTTTTAATACTTATGCATTATAATGAAAGATATTTGGTTAGATATATAAAAAAAAAATCTATAGATATTTATATATATATATATATATATATACATATACATTTATATATTTATTCGAACGTGTTATGATTACCGTTCACTGTTCAGGATATATGCGGCCCCTGAGAAATACATTGCTACGTATTTAAAATGGTTATTGTTGTTAATCATTTTAGAGCAAATTTAACTTTTAAAAGTTATTCACATCATATTAATTAACTTATTTATTGGTTAATTTATTTTATTTAAGTACTTTTAAGAATCAATTACATAGTTAAGTGAAATTGGTTAACGATAAATATTGAAAAAAAAATAATTAAATAATCACCTTTAATGTTGTATTTTGATAATTTATAATAAATGGGTGCTGTTTAAATACAGCAAAATTAGTAAAAGTCACTTCCTTTTCAAGAAATGAAAAACGTCTAATTTCCGAGTTAAGACTATATAGAAAATTTTTTCTATTGGATACCACAGTATAATCAATAAATGGCAAGATTGGAAATGTATAAATCATCTCTTTTTCCTAGCCAACCGATAAAATGATATCGGATGGAAAATATATATGGTTATATATAATATTATCTATATATGTGGACGAATACAACCTAACACATACAATTAATTTATAAACTATCAATAATTTTTACTTATATACTACTTGTATTAGTGTAGACTGTTGAACTGTGTAATTTCTTTTGTTGTTCATCCATCTAATCTTACAAAATGTTTTCACTTATTATAACATGACCTTTATTCGCGAATTAAAATAATAATAGTAATAGATTGCTATTTGTATTTGTATTCTTTTTTTTTTTTTTTTTTGAAATATTCTTCAAGTAATTGATATAATCAATAATGAATCATTTAAGAACCCTTAATATTATACTATACATGCATTAATTTTTGTTAAATATTACATGTTTAGAGTAATTTTATGTTTAAAATTGTGTTATATTTTATGTAGGTAAATTAGTATTGACAGTACTGTTTTTTATGATTATTTAAAAAAGTAAAATTGAAAAAAAATTCAAACAATTGGTCAGAATTTCGATTGGTTTTAAGATTAAAAAGATAGTATTACCTTTATAAAGAGATTTTCTATCACAGAGTTTTGCAAATATACATTTCTTGAACATTTATTGTCTAAAATTTAAACATAGTTTTACATACCACTGAAAATGATTGTTACTGTTCTGACTGCCTTTGAACAAATTCATTATTTGTTCAAAAGTGATCCGGTATTTATATATATATATATATATATTATATATATATTATTTTTTTTAAAGCTCTTTTTATTGTGACCTCAATAAGCAATGTTTGATAGTTGAACTTTTAAGAAAGATTTTTTTACATTACATACTGTTTAGGTTTTACTTATGTTTTTCAACTCAAAATTTTAGAAAGAATAATTATATTTTGTTATTTGTCAGTGAGAATTGTAACATAAATTATAAAATCTTCAACATTCAGTTGATTTTTTCATTTTCTGTTTGATAAATGCATGTTTGATTAAATTGCACAAAGTGAATACTGTATAATTATGTATTATTACGTATTACATTTTATATTTAAATAATGAACGTATGCATTTTCACAAAAAAATTTTAAACGTTATGGTGATAACACAATATTAATAAATATATTTTTGTTTTTTTAATAGGCACACATGATAATAGTTATTAAATATTATTATTGTGTAAAAATCGAATTATGTATTCGATAGACGATACGAAACAATATGGAATTATCGAGAGACAACTCAAATATAAATAACATATAAAAAACCAACGTTAAACTTTAAGTCATCAAGGTAATTATTGAATTATTGTGATTATTATTTTTTTTTTTAATATTTTTTACACTTATGCGTTAAAATAGAATATTATTTATAAAAAAAAAAGTTTTTTCAACAATATGATAATTCACTAATCGGTGTTCGTCAATTGTGCCGGAGAATTTGACAATGACACAAACTATCTTAATTGGTTTCAATTTTTATAATAATTATATTTTATTATATTAACTAAATATTAATTTATATTATTATTAATATTATATTAATTATATTATTTTTATAATAATTTGTACAAAAATAAACAAAAAGATATATATTATACACAATTTATACAATTTATAATCTAAAAGTCAATTACAGTAAAAGTTTTAAAATATTTGATATAAAAGTGACTTATCTGGCAAAATCAGCTTTATCAGATTGTGAGGCAATTAAAAATATGTCGAACAAATGGTCTAATATCATATTTCATTTTGCCATGTCTAATAATTTGTCATGTCAGTTAATTGTATTAAACACGTTTATATAATAATTTATTTAAGAATCGATCGGCACAATCGATGTACACAATTTATAACATTGAAATACTGATCGGCGCAATTGATGAATACCTTTTTTTTCATCCCATAATTTTTATTTTTAACCTGTAATTTCGGCGCAATTGATATATACCCTCTCTAATAAGGTACCTATTATGAAAATATTGTGTCATTTTCCGCTCTAATCTACTATGTACTCTAGTCTCGAATTACTTTTCATTAAAATAGTTATTTATCATATATACAGTTAGGATTGATTTATCATATCATGTGGAATGATATGTTTAGTGAATTAAGTAATAATTTAAGGACTACTATTCATAACAATAGTCTTGAAACATTAAGTTTTGCGATCTACACTTTGTAATTTTCTATATAAATAAATATACATATAATTGAAATTGTCAAGTATTTTTTTTTAAATTAAAGAGGATATCATGGAGCAGATTTTAGGAATAGTTTTAGTCAAAAAAAAATTAGTAAATTAATTAAAAATCTTATGTGACGTTTCTTTGTGGGTTTTTTTTATTTGTACATCAAGTTTCGTTTTATTTCATGTGTTAAATAGTTTTAGTTGTTGTTAATATTTGTTTTATTGGTCACATAATGCCTATAAGAATGATATAAAACTTGTCAATGGTAGGTTTTGGTACTAGATTATTAATTGGTAGGTAATGGTACTAGATTACGGACAGTAACTATGCAGAGGAATAAGATTGAAGTTCAACCCAAGGTCAAGTTGTTTTTATTCTTAGAATACCAATGATTACTAACGAATACTTGTTTTAATTTAAATGAACCTAATTCTCTATGAAGCTTTGTTTTGTTATGTCCATCAATAAGACATAGGGACAGACATTGAAGGTCACTGGCCTTGATGTCACGATTCCCTAATTTACTCATGGACAATTTTGTGTGGCTTGCTTTCATGTTAGCTTAGCGAAAAACCTATATGTGTATGCCCTTCATCAAAAAAAATAAAAAAAAATATTGTCAAGAAAGAAATATTATATTGTTAACAAGGTATTACACATAATAATAATAATAAATAATAATTTCTTAATCATCAATTTTTTTTTTTTTTTTTAATAGTTTATTAAATCCCTGCCAAAGTCAGGTAATTTGGCTAGTTACTCCTATATTTTTAATACATTTATTGTAATGTTATATTTATAGTTAGTGTGATATGTTATTCAATATTTATAAATTCTTTATTAAGTATATCATAAATATATTTATTTTTTTATTTCTAACATTTTCATTATTTTATTTATTTATTATTATAAGTGTTAAAATCATTTAAAATGTTCGTTTCAAATATTCTTCAAGTTACAATTTAATATTTATTGACAAGTAATATAGTATACTATTTAGATTATTTTTACATAAGTTAATAATTAAATAAAGATAATTATATATTTTAATTCATTAAGAGATTAGTTATACATTTACAATAAATATGTGTAAAATTAGTTATACGAGTACATAAGTTTTAACTCATTACTATTGTTGTTATATTGTTACTGTTTTTTTTTTGTTTTTATTTTTTTTTTTTTATTGAGAGAATTTCAAACGGAAATTTATCTCTACCAAAATGTATTAATCTTTTTTCGCTTAAATCAGTAGAGATATATTCTCTGCATATTTATGATTTATGTGATTTTTGATAATGAATATTTGAAATATTTAGATGTAGCTTAGTCGATTTTAAGTAGACATACATATTTTCAAATTAGAACCAGTTTTTAGAAATTTTTATATTATTAGGTCTGTTTGAGAGATTGACCAAATGTACGTACAAACAAGCATACATTATTTACTGTTAGCATGGCACTGCAGTGGTAATATATTGTATATGTGTGCGCGTGGGATCACTCCACTTAATTTTCTTTTAGACACAGCCACACACACACACACACACACTAATTAGGATCAACACTCATAAAATTATACAATTCATATGAACGCACTTAAAAAAACACCTATATTGAATTCCTAAAAAAAAATTATTTTGAATTTATTAACTAAATATAAAATATTGTTAATATGGCATTATAAATAGGCCATCTAGGTACATAACACTTTTTTGGGTTAATTTTTCAGGTATTTGATATATAAGTCTATTTCTTGCATTTTATTAAATTAAACTATCAAAAATACATTTCAATAGGTATATTTAAATAAAAAATAAAAGTGAAAATACAAAATACTATTTTAAATGGGATGCAACTGAATTGTATGTTTTTGGATTTGGAGAACTGCTGAGTCAAAATAAATGCTCATAAGACTACAAGGCTTAATAAATGCCCACGTAATTGTAGCATAAATAAAAATGAAATGTAACAAATTTGTGCTAAGATAATGATTTATTATAACTTATACATATATATATATTATAATATGATAATTAAAAATTATTAAGTCAAAATTAAAAAAAAGTGTTTTTGATAAAAACAATTGTAAATTTTTATGTAATTCAATTTTTTAACATAGAATAAAATTAAAAATAACACTTTAATAAAAACATGAAATAATTAAAACCAATATGATTTTTTTTTTAATTTTTAATTATAAATTATAGCTAGATATCAAGAAATTTATTTATTACGATGACTATTCATTTTATAATGAAAATATTGTATTAATTTTTGTAACTTTTGTCATGTTTGTTATGTATTATTGTATTCAATTTTAATAATTACGAATTGTATTTGTATTGTTACATTTTATTAAAAACTCGTTATTATCATTATTAATATTATTAAATTATGTATAAACAATATACTTTTTATAAACAAGAATATAATTAAAATTCACCAAATTAGACGAAATCAAACTAAATATATTATTATTTGTTTTACTTTCTCTAATTTTTTAATTATCTTAATGAATATTGAAAATGCTCTTATATGTAGTTCTTGTGATTTCTATATTGGTATTAAATATATTTTAACTAAATGTTATATATTTATAGGTAAGCCATAGATATATATATTGTATGTTTTTAAAATTTTTTACTGATTTTCTTAACTTAACCTCAAATCTATCTTTACTTATATGAAATTCATCATCACCGCTGATTAGTAAATCATCGTATGATTATCACTGCCGGATCATCTAGTAATTAAGTAGCATGTATACAATTATTTATGTATCGTTACATATTTATTCTTTTAGCAGTCCATTTACAACTGTTAATATTACCAAATGATCGCTTTTGAAACTAGTTTATTTAATATATTATATGCAATTAATTAATTATGAAAGTATGAAATAAAAAATAAAAAATAATGATAATATTAACTCCTAACAATCAAAAGGTGACGCTCAAAGGTTAAGGTATAATTATTCTATATACGAGAGTAGAAGCAAATGATCTATAATTCCTAAATTGAGAACTTGTAAATATTGATGCACATAATCTCATGTTTTGTCTACGTTGTATAAAATTACATTTTTTGGCGGAGACCAAAAAAATAGGATAAATACAATATCTATTGATTATATAAGGTTCTTGAATATCATAATAATTTAAATGGATATTGTGTAGATAATTTAACTTTATTTTTTAATAAAAACTTTTTTTTATACCTAGATAGAAGATAATAAACAATGTATTTATATTTGACATTCTGTGTATAGCAAGGTATGTATTTTATGTTTGTCATCACAATTTGGAGTGAACAAAATTCTCCAATCTTCCATATTGAGGGCTGATTCTGATAGAAAATTTTATCTTGTTGATAGTTTGGGTCCCGATATTTATTTTCTTAGATCCTGGAAAAAGCTAACAAATAACATTGGAAAACAAGAATATTTGAAGTACACAATACCTGTTGTTTTTTTTTTTTGTCGTTACTTATAAAAATAAATAATAAATATTCACGGAGACTTGTAACTTTTATATTATCCATAGTATTAGAATTATCTGTACATGATATAATTTTCAAATTATTTTGGCTCTTTAAAAACTAATATTATACATTTTAAATTTTTAACTTGAGTACCAATATACATCCTAAAAATTTAATTTAAGCTTCATTATAATCTAAATGTTTTTACAGAATTTTAAAATGTTAAAAACACGTAGTACCACTTTTTTATAGTAAAATATTTGATGCAATAGGATATTAAAATTAAAATAAAAGTGTTTCCACTCAATATTTTAGTTATTTAGTTGTATTTAGTTTGAAACATATTAATTGTAAATAGGTACTTAAAACTTTTATTATTGGATATTTTATTATTTTAAAAATGTTTTAAATAATTCTGAGCTATTTATAATACGAAAATATTCTTACCGTTAAAAAAAAAAAATACGTGGTATTAATTTATAACGCAATAACAGCTATTTAATACTTTAAATTAAATATTACAATAATAATAATAATAATGGCTATTTAATGTATCTCAAATAAAAGTTATTTTTTATATACTGTGATTTATCATTGAATTCAAACTTAGCACATTTATTAC